ATATATATATATATAGAGTCCCGAGCTTTAACCTACGGAAAATATAATTTGACACTGTGGATTTGTAGACAACAGCGATAAAACAGTCACGGAGTCTTACAGCCTGCAGATATATACAAGGCTCGTAATGCCTATTATGGATATGTAACGAGTCTTTGTTGACAAATACCTTGAACTGGAGAGGAGCATTAAGTTCAGCTTGAAGAGATTCAAAATGTACTCTGTAATCGTATAAACGAGAAAAGAAATATCAATAGGAAAATATGACAAAATACATATATCGCGGCACGTTTCTTAATAATAATCTTTATTACACATATAATTAAATATGATCCAGGAAAACTCTCTCACATTGGTGATTCATCGTTTGCCATACATCACTGCTCAAAAACAAAGCGCTCAAGCGAGGTGCCAAGGATTTCAAAGGATTATTCAAATTTGAACCTTGAAACCTCGACTGAATGCTTTGTGTTTAACCAGTGAACCGATGTATGGAAAATGGTGAATTTTCAGAGAGGTCTTGGAATTAACTTAAAATCATCACCCTTGAATGCCACCCAACTGATGTGAATGATTGCAGAAGAAGAGAGTTTGGATTATAACAGTACTAATAACATGATTAAAAAGTTTGGTTTTCTCACCTCAGCTGTTCCTCGTCTGCCTGTACAGAATAACCAGCCTTGCGAATAGATTCTTGTTTAACCATTACCTATAAGAATGAAAAGAATGGATATAAAATGAAATGAAATAAAATGGATGGTAGGACTTAGAAACTGAACAAGAACAGATAGATTGGATGGGTGGGTGGATGGATGGATGAAATAAAAGGATGGGTGGATAGATGGATGGGCAAACAAATGGATAAATGTAATGGGAAATGGATAAATGGATGGATGGATGGATGGATGGATGGATGGGTGGATGGGTGGATGGATGGATGGATGGATGGATGGATGGATGGATGGATGAATGGATGGATGGATGGATGGATGGATGGATGGATGGATGGATTAATATCTTGCCAACATAAGTACTAGCTCCAATGGATTACTAATACAAGCACAGCACCCCATATATCCCATGGATCCTTTCTGCCTCATACATCCAGGTATATAATAATGTTAAACTGTAAACAATACCTCCAATACACGATGGCTCAGTTCCAAGTGCTTTCTCTTAAACTGTGCAAGTTTGGCCATTGTTGTGGCATGATTACACTGTAGTGTGGCAATCTCTTCACTGATAATCTGCAATAAAATATCGATACAAAATATGGTGAAATACCATCAACACTGATAATCATTTACATGTTAATAATAACGTTTTTTACAGGACTTACTGATAGTCGTTTCTGGTGCTGTGCTGTTTCTTGATCTTGAAACTGTAGTCTCTTTTTTAGTTCACTGAATCCTGTTATGGGTACTGGTATCAACCTGTAACAGTCCATAGACTAATGTTTAACCATGTATACAGTCATCATGTATATAGGGGCTAGGGGAGTTCACCCCACACCTGTTATGGGTACTGGTATTAACCTGTAACAGTCCATAGACTAATGTTCAACCATGTATACAGTCATCATGTATATAGGGGCTAGGGGAGTTCACCCCACACCTGTTATGGGTAACGGTATTAACCTGTAACAGTCCATAGACTAATGTTTAACCATGTCTGTATAATRCTATACAGTCATCATGTAAAGGGGCTAGGGGAGTTCACTCCACACCTGTTATGGGTAAYGGTATTAACCTGTAACAGTCCATAGACTAATGTTTAACCATGTCTGTATAATACTATACAGTCATCATGTACAAGGTCTAGGGGGCTTCACCCCACACAGGCTGTTATGGGTACTGGTATCAACCTGYAACAGTCCATAGACTAATGTTTAACCATGTCTGTATAATACTATACAGTCATCATGTACAGGGTCTAGGGGGCTTCACCCCACACAGGCTGTTATGGGTACTGGTATCAACCTGTAACGGTCCATAGACTAATGTTTAACCATGTCTGTATAATACTATACAGTCATCATGTACAGGGTCTAGGGGGCTTTACCCCACACATGTTATTGGTACTGGTATCAACCTGTAACAGTCCATAGACTAATGTTTAACCATGTCTTTATAATACTATACAGTCATCATGTACAGGGTCTAGGGGGCTTCACCCCACACAGGCTGTTATGGGTACTGGTATCAACCTGTAACAGTCCACAGACTAATGTAGGATGTGATATCTCTGAAGTAAAATTTACGAAACATCTCAGCTATAAATGTGTGCATTCGGCATATGCGACGTTTGCTTCCGGGTTGAACTCCCATTCAAGATCCTAGTTCCATTCCATACACAACCACGTGTTGACCTCTGACAAACTTTATCGTTTAATTTTYTATTTCTTGTAACCTTTTGAAAATGCTCCCACAGATTGAAAACTATAGCCTTGGTGCAAAAATTCCCAACCCCCTCCACCATAGGAAGATGAGAAAAGTAGGAATTAACCAGCTCAATTTGATCATTATTTGTGTACCAACTTCCAAACCTACCTTTCAGGGTCGGGATTATCTTTCTTGGCTTGTTCCCAAAGTAGAGAATCTATGCCTGTAATTTATGTATTATATATATATAATATGAAATCGAAATATGGCGACCAATTTAAAAAACTATTGTTCTGCGCTGACTAGCAGCTGATATAACTTATCATATTACAGCCTTGTGTTCACTTGGAAACATAAAAGGGTTTTCACATGTATGAGAGGCTAGTCAGGACTTTGCTAGTCAGTGCAGAACAATAGTTATTCAAATTGGGTGCCATATTTCGATTCACTGTATACTGCATGTACTGTGCTTTATATTTTTGTCATGTTTATATTAATTTTTTKCAATACCTTTTGTGTAATTTTTAATCCAAGATTTGTAAATATAATTTATAATGATGACAATGCATGATGCTGAAATATTCTATTAGAAAATGCAATTAATTTTGTGCAATTTTTTGAGGAAAAAAAGCTTTTTTAAAAAAATGGCAAGTAGTTTTTGAGTATCACTGTACATACAGTAAGAAAAAAACTACGATAACAATGTATGGTGACAGTGCTTGTTTATCTGTTTTTGATTTATTGTGGCTTATGTGTCTAAGTACATTAATGGTAAAAATAAAATTGATAGGTCACAGAACTAGATTTGTGTATTTTAATGAGCGTATTTTAATGCAAATATAATGCACATTAAAACGGGAGCGCATTACATTAAGAAGCTATGCTTAAGCCCTGAACAGCATACAATGCAAGTTAGAAGAACATACCTGCAGGCGGTGTGTTAAGATACTGCTGCAACAGTTCAGGAGACATGCTTGTCTTTGCAGTAATATTYGTGACTCCCAAATTTTGAAGTTGGGTCTAAAAACAAATGTACAAAGAGGTAATAAATCAATTGCATCCCCATACTGCCTACTTTACCTTCATTCGTTCATTGATCAAGCACAAGGCATGCAGTGACAGCCTGCATAGCAGGCCATTAGGGGATTCTGGGAAGCACCTCTCCCTCGCCTTCTTGCCAATTCCCCAGACAAGGCCGAGCTACCCAGGCTATGTAGTCAAGGCTACAATGATTTGAAAAAATCTTTTGAAACAATCTTACAGCCTTGATTGAAATCTGTGTTCATTACCAGAAATAATTCCTTTTTTGATGCAGTCATCAAATTTAATTTTAGCACCTACCCATGCTAAGATGTCACTATACTCTTTTTCAATAAGTTAATATCTGGTATAAGTTCAGGCCCATAGCAAGGGGAGGGACTGGGGGTCCTAATTAGTCACCCTACGTCAGAAATGTACAAACGGGACTTCAGAAATGTAAAAGTCAAACTGCTAAAAATGTAACAGTTACCCCTAGAAAAGTCAAAATTTTCCTGTGGAGACCTGTTGTCCAGACGTTAGAAATACACCGTTGTTGCTCCACAAACAAAGATGAAAAAAGTGCATGGTGCAAACTCTAATGTACATGTAAATAGCAGTATATAGGATTTCCATTGAATTCTCATCTCCATAAATCAGGTTTTCTTGGGATCTTTTGATTAATCGTACTATTCAATCCTTTTGTGAAAATATTGCTAACCTTTACASTTGCTTGGTTAAGGTATATATACACATCATTGGAATTATATGTCCTAGTTGTGCCATTATCTGCTCGCTCAACCACTTTGAAAACCACCTCCGTACTGTAGGAAAGAGAAAGACATATTCTTTATTTAAAATCAAAGGAATAACRATACTTTATGATTAAAAAAACTCATCTGCTTTGTATTAATTATATTGTCAACCACTAGTACACTGTACTTCTGTATCATTCACAACTGGTGAGTTACAGTACCAGGTATGCAGTGCTAGGCATTTACAGGGTAGTTTAAAAAAAATAATTAAATGGAATAACTATAATAATAATAAATATTATTTATCAATAGACAAGGGCAGAATCATTTACTGACCTCATATAGGTCAAGRTTTAAAAAGCCAAGATAGCGAGACTGTGCATTCAGTCATACTGTACACCATTCATTGTTCTACCTAGTTACTGTAATTCCYACATAGGACAAACTAAAACAGTTTTTTGATATRCAGCATGGAACAGACGCRGATTGATTATTTATTCATGCTGAAAATTGTAAATGTCTGTCTTAGAGTCAATTCATTCAAAGGGTAAAAATTGATAYATGCTAAAAAGTATTAAGAATTTGCATTYGTAGTGGTCAGACATTCTGTATTCCATYGGGAAAATTAACCATTGTTTGGGTGGACACGCAAGCAYACTTGTAGCTGAGATCAACTGTGGTTAAGAATCTAGTTGAGTCAAAAGCTTGATAAATTGCTTTCAAAAACGATGCAGTGTAATTTTGTTTTTKGGTATGGGATGTGTGTTTCATGATCAGAGCTCACATCACATACAGCACTTTCCATATTTTGTYATTCTTATCCAAAAGAAATGGTATTTTAATTTGCATTTTAAGGATGAAATAAAAATCTCGTGTCATATGCTATGTGCAGTTATGAAGCACTTGGCAATTGAATGATATGCCTATTGATACGATTTACTGTAATTTATTGCCATTTACCTGTCATCTGGTAAAGGTTTAAGTCCATCAACACAAACCATAATTGAAGGCTTGTTACCAAAACACTTTTGCAGCTCACTGACAAGACTCTGCTGCTGCTGATAGACTTCTTGYTCTTTCTTCTTGATTTGAATGCCTACGAAACCATCGTCATTACTGGCTGATGGTAACCGACTGTACCCTACAACCTACAATGCCAAAATATCATGTAAGATAGAGGATACCCAAAGTAAAACAKACTACCTAGTCTGCTAAGGCCCAGATGATCTTTAACATTGCTATCAACTTGAGCTCTTAAGAACTCTCACAGGTTTCCTATACAGACTGTACATGTCTTCAGCAGCATTAATCCTCATTATTATTTCCAAGCTATGCTATTTTGAGTATTAAATCAATTATAGATTGATATTGAATGTAATGTAAG